GTCCGCCACCCGCCGGGCCGGCCTCCGCCGCCGAAAAATGAGTGCGGCATCCAAAACACCGCCGTGGAGGTGGCGCGCTCCACGTCCATTGGTGCCGCGGGCTTAATTAGTTCGATGCTGCTCAGGCGACCAGCGCAATCGAGGTGGAGATTTACTTTATTTATGATGATGAACTTGCATAGAGAGACTCGGTGCCGGTGTCGGCCTCGTGTCGCCTGCAAATCGCATGCCGTGTCGGATCCTTCCGTTCGAAACTCGGAAGCTAAACTGCGTTTTGTTTCTGATGAAAGCCGCACGATTTCCATATACCACACTAACGAAAGCCGCACTATGCAATCTGCCGCGCCTCCGGGTCGCACCACTCCCCCCGCCAATCTGCGCCGCACCCCGTGATTCAACTTCACAAAAGATATCTGGCAAACGTTCGCTGGTATCCAATCCCGACGAACGCCCCCAGAACCATCGGATATGCATCCGACGACAATAGTTTTCTGGAGAAAAAAAAACACAATTTAAACAAACTGCCATGGCAGTTTTGTAAAATATCAACCCACCCTCAACCCAATAGATGTGAAACTGCCACGAGGGCTACATTGAAGGGCTGGTTCTCTCCTAGTTGGTGTCCATTGTTGAGGGATGATTTTGTCGCCAGGAAGGCAACGGAGTCATCCTTGCGTCTCATATAGTCGTGATGTGCCACCAAGGAGCTCGTCCCTTGCCCGGGCGAGGAAGGGCGGGGGGTGGAGGCCAAATCTGGCTAGCCCATGTTGGTCTCGGAGCTGGGGACCGTCCAAGGGTGTGCAAGGAGGTGCCTTTCCGCTTGTCTCTTTGGTCGTCGTGGTTGCAAGTCTCGGTTGGGGTGGTGTCGAGGTTTTGGATGTCAAGGTGGCAGTCTTGGTGGTAGGATCCATGGTTCTCATGGGAGGAGCTCGCGGCTTAAGTGTTGGATGGTTGCCATGATCGTGTAGGCGGCGTGGTGGTCAGTGTGTGTGGTAGAACCAGGGATCCTACCGGACCGGCCCAAAGCGAAGGAGGCAGAGCTCGCGGAAGCGCTCCCAAAGGGGCATGGCGCCCTCGTCCTGCTCG